TCATTCAAAGGTGTTAGCTGCACTCTAGCAGTTATTTGAGGGTGGGGAATCAGAGCCAAATACACATTATTATTATTTTTTTTTTTAGCTTTGAAGAACCTCAAAAGTTTCAAAAATCCCAAAGAAGGACCTTGGACATACAGCTCTAATCCTAAACCCAAACACAGGTGCTTTTTCATCATTTAGCCTTTAAATATAAAAATTAAAAAACCGCCGAACCGGTTTGGCTCAATGGATAGAGCGTCAGCCTGCAGACTGAAGGGTCCCAGGTTCGATTCCGGTCAAGGGCATGTACCTTGGTTGCGGGCACATCCCCCGTAAGGGGCGTGCAGGAGACAGCTGATCGATTTCTCTCATTGATGTTTCTAACTCTCTATCCTTCTCCCTTCTCTGTAAAAAAATCAATAAAATATATTTTTAAAAAAAAATTAAAAAAACCACACACAACCTCTCCAAATATGGCTGTTGGTTTTAAAAACACTGATGTCTAGTCTAGTTTTTTGCCTAACATTGAGGCCAACATCTCATCACACAAGCCCAAGGGCTTTCAAAGGCACTGCTGGAGGTCGTCTCATGGCAGAAGGATCCACAGCACAAGCATCTCCCCACAGAACCCCCAAGTTACCAGACCCCATCAAGGGCCAAGGGGCTAGGGCAGCCGTGGGCAAACTACGGCCCGCGGGCCGGATCCGGCCCATTTGAAAGGAATAAAACTAAAAAAAAAAAGACCGTACCCTTTTATGTAATGATGTTTACTTTGAATTTATATTAGTTCACACAAACACTCCATCCATGCTTTTGTTCCGGCCCTCCGGTCCAGTTTAAGAACCCATTGTGGCCCTCGAGTCAAAAAGTTTGCCCACCCCTGGCCTAGGGCCTGAAGACCAAGGGGATCGGGCAGCAGCACAGAGGCTGACACCCGAAGCCTCCTCAGAATCCTACTGGAGGCAGGCCCTCAGCTGCACAGTGGTCACAGCTGTGGGGGCACAAGTGACTCAGACTGCCAGCTGCGGGAGGGCCCAGAGAGCCGGTGAGAACCCCACCCAACCCCACCCTCAGGGTGTGCCTGGCAGGGAGCCATCAGGCCTAATCAGCTCTGCTGGCCTGGAAGAAGCTCAGCCTCTGGAGGGGAGCACTTACCAATGGTGGTGCGTGGTGAGCACTGTAGTCAGCTTCACGCCGTGCTTTTTTGCCATCTCTACAACCTGTAACCAAACGTGAAGCAGGACAGAGGCCACCGTCACACTACAAGCGCTGGCTCGCCAGCCCGCAAGGTGGGGTGCCCACCGGAACTCAGGGTGTGCCAGGAATGGCCGGACTCCATCCGGACCCTGCCAACTCGGCCTAACTTCGGTAGAGCAGGGTGACAGTGGCCTTTCTCTCTCTTGATGCACTTGGCAATTCAGCACCCCCCCCCCCCCCAAGACCTCTCCAAGCCCCTCTGGTCAAGGGCACAAAGCCTCAAGGAAGAGTAGACAATACCAAGTACAGCTCCTACCTCTCTGCCCAAGGACTTAACAGACACAAGGCCTTATCTTTCCACAGCAAAGCGTCTGGTCACCCCCACCCCTTTCATTGGCCCTTTGCCCCAATAACAGTGGCTGGGCACTAGTTAAATTGTTTGTAAAAAAAAAAAAAGAAATAGATTAATTTCTAGTTAGCTTCAGCCAAGTGCAAGAACAAGGAGGTTATCACACCCATCAGAGGATGAAGAACTGTTTGCCGGGGACACACCTCCCACCTTCTGGGGTTGCACTGGGTCCACAATGGCGGCCTCCTTGGTATCATCATCGATGATCAGGTACATGTAGTTGTCGGTCAGGGCAGGCAATAACTCAACCTTCATGGCGTCCTGTTCCACGGTCAAGCTCTTCCTCAAATCTGTGTGATGGAGGAGTCCCAGCTGGGCCAGACCTGAAGAAGAATGCAGTTTTGGTCAGTGTTCACGTGAGGCCACATCAGGCAGAGACTTCAAATCAAGCCTCAATGACGCAGCAATAGGGGCGTCCTGGGATGTGACATCCCAGAGCCACATGCAGTGAGCATCCAAGCAGAGGCTCACCCTGCAGGGTTTTCTAAATTCCTTTGAAAGAGAAGAGAATATTCTCATTTAACCACATCAGTAAGAAAATCTAGAAAACAATTCATATTCATGGAAATCAGCTCTTTCAGATTTATGATCTGAATATTTTCAACAATGAAACTCCTATTATTCAATCTAAAAATTCATGGAGGCCCTTAAGCCTTAGCATAAAAGGGATTAAAACTGTTTAACAGAGGGCGAGAGAAGGCAGCCATGAAATTCTGGGGTATGTGCTGGGATAGGGCCTCTCCCCAAAGGGATCCAGAAAGCAGGGAGCACTGACTGACTAACAGACAGGCCATGTCTCCAGGGGCCATCGAAAACAGATTCAGCCTTTTCTGCCATGGCCAGGGAAACTGCCTGAACTGTCGCTTTAATGATCGCACACAGATATCCGATGCCCTCTTTCCTTTGACAACTAGCTGGGCATTTGCCAGACCCTTCTCCTCATGCAGAGAAGAACAAACATTTTTTTTAAAAATATATTTCATTGATTTTTTACAGAGAGGAAGGGAGAGGAGATAGAGAGTTAGAAACATCGATGAGAGAGAAACATCGATCAGCTGCCTCCTGCACATCTCCTACTGGGGATGTGCCCGCAACCCAGGTACATGCCCTTGACCAGAATCGAACCTGGGACCCTTCAGTCCGCAGGCCGACGCTCTATCCACTGAGCCAAACCGGCTTCGGCCGAACAAACATTTTTGTATGATCAAGTTTGTGATGTTCCACCAGCTATCTGAGACCCAGTGTTACCTGAGCCTGACGACTATACTACACAAGGCAGTGCGTGTATTGCGGGTGCGGGCGGGAGGCGGGCAGAAGGACAGAAACAAAACTCCATGAGTCTGGAAGCATTCTCCCCAACGGGGGGCCCCATTTTTGTATTTCCCAGAGAACATTATCCACTCTGCCCAGGTAAAGAAGAGACCGTTATTTACAATTGGTGCTAGGGAACCTGGGGAAGATGCTATTATCTCTAAGCAAAGAATTCATCTGGTCCAATCACCACCAGAAACCTTATTCCTTTACCAAAAATTATATAACCTAGGCCACCACAGCCTGAGAAGTGGTTTGCAACTGTGACCTTTGTGTAACCACAGTGTATGGACCTGCAGCCTATGGTCTGGGCCAAGTCCTGAGACATGTTTTGTTTGATTTCTTTTGTTGTTGTTTTTTTTTTAAATATATTTTATTGATTTTTTTTACAGAGAGGAAGGGAGAGAGACAGAGAGCTAGAAACATCAATCAGCTGCCTCCTGCACATCCCCCACTGGGGAAGTGCCCACAACCCAGGCACATGCCCCCGACCAGAATCGAACCCGGGACCCCTCAGTCCGCAGGCCGACGCTCCATCCACTGAGCCAAACCGGCTTCGGCTTGATTTCTTTTGAATGAGACCCGTCCTTCCGCATGGCATCAACTCCTGGCAATTCCCTACAGTCCCACTTTCAACAGCTGCCCGACCCCTGACACAAACCCTCAGCCTTGACACTGTGATGCGTTTTCCTAAAGGGCAAACAACAGTCAACAGAGCCAAATATCAACAGTACAACGATTGAAATTTCTTTTGGGAGCCAAATTTTTTAAACTTAAACTATATAGGTAGGTACATCATTATTAACTTAATTAGGGTACTCCTAAGGCTTAGGAAGAGCCACACACAAGGGGCCAAAGAGCCACATGTGGCTCTCGAGCCGCAGTTTGCCGACCACGGGCCTAGGTAATGCCCTCCTGTCAGTTAGGTGACTGCTAACCAGGTCCCAGAGACCGCCCCTACTGCTAATCAGCCAGGTAAAATATCAGGAAATAAGGAAAAGGAGATTTCAAAATAAAGGCCAAACTATTCCGACAAAGCAAGAGGTTAGCATCTGATCTGACAGCTGGAAGAGCAGGCCCTTGGAGGCCAGGGTGCGCAATGCCTCTCATTTCAGAGGCACCGATGGAAACACAGCGAGGGAGGGCCAGGGTCCCACGGCCACGGGACCAGGCATTGCTCCAGGGCTCGCCCCTGTGTCATCACTTTAGATTCCGTGCCTCGGTTCCACTTGACAACCAAAACTCAGGTGATTTACTTAGAACATAACATTTTCTGGGGCTCTCGGCAGTCACATCACCCTCGGGCATTAGAGATACGGGATTTGTGGGGTGGGGGTACGGAAATATGAGGGAAACCCCCGCACCGCCCAGCGCCAAGGAACTGAGGGCTGCCGGCTGACCGCGGGGGGCCGGCCCGTGCGCTGGGAGCCCGGCTCCTTACCTAGCACCAGCCTTCAGCACCCTCAGCGGATCAGCGACCCGCTCTGTCTTCTGCCCTCTCACAGCCTGACCCAACTGCTGTGCAGCTTTCGAACCCAACTGGCCTGCCCGCCGCCGTCAGCGAGGGTTAAAGTCCTCTGTCAATAAAGAACAGCGTCAGGCGTCAGGCGTCGGCCGCCGCACCGGCGCGGGCCAGCGGGCTGCGTCCACGCCCAACGCCCGGCTGCGGGCCGCCGGCGCCTCTGGGACGCCTCGGGAGCGCAGGTGGCCTAACTGCCGTTCCCGGCGATGACACTCGCCAGGACCCTCGGGCCTGACTAGTCCCCGCCCCCGGCCCCTGCCGCTGTCAGCCCTGCCCCGGCCCAGCCGGCCCGGACCCACCTACCCAGGCCGCGGCGGACACAAGCGGCTCCCAGTGCGGTGAGACTGCAGCGGCCGAGCAGCCGGCTCAGCACCATGACCGGGGCGGAGAGCGGGCGGCAGTGCGAGGCGTGGGCGGGCAGCACACCCGGCGTCCGCGAGTCGCGGCCAATCAGTGCCTGTCTCGAGCCCCCACCCCACTTGCCGACCAATCAGAGCTCGATTCCCAGTCCTGCCCGCCGCACGGCCAATCAGCGCTCGCGTCCAAACCGTGCCCACTCCCCGCGAACGAGAATCAAGGAAGCGGCCGCAGCTAAAAAGCGACGTTAGCGCCTCCGTTCTTTCCGGGGACCAGGCCAGCGCTCCAGAGGCGGCCACTGGACAGCGGTTCACCCGAGGCCGAGCTCCGCGACTTCGGCGGAGCACAAAGCCGAACGGGCGGTCGCGGACGGGATTGCGCGCGGAGACAGTTCGTCCCCTCGGCGTAGCCGTAGACGTCAGGGGACCCGTCCCGGCCGAATCCACGTGACTCTAGGGGCGCCTAGCTGGAGCCATGGCGGTTTCCAGGCCGCTGTCCCGCTTCTGGGAGTGGGGTAAGAATATCGTGTGCGTGGGCCGGAACTACGCGGACCACGCCAAGGAGATGGGGAGCGCGGTGCTTAGCGAGCCCGTGCTCTTCCTGAAGCCGTCCACCGCCTATGCCCCCGAGGGCTCGCCCATCCTCATGCCCGCCTACAGCCGCAACCTGCACCACGAGCTCGAGCTGGGCGTGGTGATGGGCAAGCGAGGCCGCGCCGTCCCGGAGGCCGACGCCATGGACTACGTGGCCGGCTATGCCCTGTGCCTGGACATGACCGCCAGGGACGTGCAGGATGAATGCAAGAAGAAGGGGCTACCCTGGACCCTGGCCAAGAGCTTCACCACCTCCTGCCCCGTCAGCGCGTTCGTGCCCAAAGAGAAGGTCCCTGACCCTCACAACCTGAAGCTCTGGCTCAAGGTCAATGGAGAACTACGGCAGGAGGGTGAGACGTCTTCCATGATCTTTACCATCCCCTACATCATCAGCTACGTTTCTAAGATAATGGCCTTGGAAGAAGGAGATATTATCTTGACCGGGACGCCGAAGGGAGTTGGCCCTGTTAAAGTAAACGATGAGATCCAAGCGGGCATACACGGGGTCGTCAGTATGAGATTTAAGGTGGAAAAGCCAGACTATTGAGTCTATACAAAGCACCCTAATTTCTTAAGTTTCAGAAGAGAAGGGAGTTGGACTGAAGCAAGCAAAGGTTATTAAAAGTGACTCCTTTAAAAATAAATCAAATTTTAAAGATGATTTGATTGGGTTGCTGTGTCTCAACTCAGGGAAGATAAGAACTCCGAGAAAAACATGCTCTAGAACAGCCGATCAGAAATGGAAAGGAGAAAGGAATGCCTGTCTGTCTTCTAGGAAACAAACAGAAGAAAGTATTTGTGATGTCTCCATGAGGCATGAAATGTTCAGAAGACTTTCCTAAAACTGGACTGGAAAAGACTTTTCAGTGAGTCATTCTGGGATCAGTAGTTCAATAATTAAAATATGCAAAGGGAGTTGAAAAGCATGTTTCAAATGAATGTTTCCCACATTTCCTTGATCATGGTAATCATCTGAAGGTATTTGTAAAAAAAATATTTCCAAATTACTGGCCCATACTGGGCCCACTGTATTAACAGAATTAATCTCCAGCACTCCATGTGATTCTTATGAAATGTGGAAAAACACTACTCCACATATTTTAATTTAAAATTTTATTTAATAAGTTAATGAATGACAACCTCACTCGTTTGTACCCTGGCTCATAGATTCTGAGTTTAAGAGAGAATTTTGAGCCTGGCTGATATAGCTCAGTGGTTGAGTGTCGCCCAGATTGCCCACTGGATCTCCAGTAGGGGGCGTGCAGAAGGCAATTTATCAATGTTTCTATCCCTCTCCCTCTCTAAAATAAAAATACATTTTTAAAAAAAGATAATTTTGAAATTACTGTTTTTAAATAAATATGCTGGGTGTTGTGTGGACTAAAAATCTTTCCCCTAATAGTGGCTAGGAGGGATGCTTTCTTTTTAAAGGACTTCAGACCTTGGTCACACTGACCTTTGGCCTGGTGAGACTGTGCTTTATTAACAGTTCATCAGCATCTCTACCTCCTGACCAGAAATAAGCAGGCTTCAGGGAAGTTAAGTGGTATAGGTGCTACTTTTGCTTTAACCTGCACGCTTCTTCAAAAAAAGGGTAGGCAAGATGACAGCATAGCTATCAGACTGCTGGTGGAGGCATTTTAGGCTCAGGCAGAGCCTCCTACTATAGTGTAAACAGAAGATACCTGCTGGCCCTTGAAAGCTTCGCACACCTAATTTAATAATAGTTAACATTGAGCCTTAGTATTGCTAGATACTGTGTGCCAAGAGTTGTCTATGTTTTATTTACCCCTCAACAAAGCTGTGATGTTGGTATTACTACTGTCCCTGTTATACAGGGATGAAAATATAGAGTTAGAGGTTAAGCTAGCCTGGCTCTACAGTCACTCACTGAGTGACAGGCCCAGATGTAACCCAGATATCCCAAGACCTGAACCTAAACGAATGCAGGATGCATCTTTTAAATAGATATATAAAAAGATTCAAATGTTTAGGTATTATGCAACCCCCATGTTTAAATTATAATTTACTATGGAGTATAATTTACTCCATACTATTTTCCACAGTGGCTGCACCAGTCTGCATTCCCACCATAAGTGGATTTATTAAATATCATGCTATCTTTTTATCAAGTTTCTTTTTTAATTGCTTAAGCAATACATGTTTATTACAGAAGAGTTAGAAAATATGGTTATGAAGAAAACCCCAAATACTCAAAATTTCATCTGCTCAGAGACAGCCAAAGTTAAGTATTTAGTATACAGTTTTCTAAATCTAGATGTAAGTTTATTATTTGTTCATATCGCACAATTTTATAACCTAGTTTTTTTCACCATATATTGTGACTATCCATCCATGTTAGTCTGCACATTTCTGCAGTACTATTTTCAGTGACTGCATAAGATTCTGAAGTTAGTCCTTCATTTTTAATCATTGAGATTGTTTCTAATTATTTGCTAGCAGAATCAGCACATTTATTATTTCCTTTGGCTAGGTTCCCATAAGGAAAAGAGTTGAATCAAGGGTGTGCTCATATTGAAAGTGTATTGGTCCAGGTAGCAGATACAAGGTTCAGCTGAGACAGTTCTATCAAATTCAGACTTGAAAGCAAACCAAAGATATGAGCTGGAGCCATGTTCACATATAGCTCCCTTGGGTGGCATAAGCCAGCACCCAGAAAATGTACGCTGCCCCTGAGGTCATTGTTTATCACAATGGTTCATTAGCTTTGTCACAAACAGCTGACAACAGCATTGTGGGTGTCACATACAAAGTCCTTGGTTGCAAGTATCAAAAACTGAGAGATTCACCAATTCCTACAAATTCTGATATTGATAAAATACAATAATCCTAGCACCTAGAACAGGGGTCCTCAAACTTTTTAAACAGGGGGCCAGTTCACTGTCCCTCAAACCGTTGGAGGGCTGGACTATAGTTTTAAAAAAAACCATGAACAAATTCCTATGCACACTGCACATATCTTATTTTGAAGTAAAAAAAATGGGAAAAAATACAATATTTGTATTTGCATGTGGCCCGCGGGCCGTAGTTTGAGGACCTCTGACCTAGAAGGTACATTTTCCCCCTAACTTTTATTTTGCATAAATTTAAACCTAATAAAAAGTTGAAAGTCTAATATAACAAACTATATATATGTATACCAGAGGCCCTGTGCACGAATTTGTGCACAGGTAGGGTCTGGCCCGCCCAATCAGGGTATATTGGCCACTGGCCAGGGAGAGGGGACGTCGGAAGTTGGCCAGCTGACTCCGCCCCCTGGTCGAGCTCCCAGTCAAGGGGACATTTTGCATGTTAGCCTTTTATTATATAGGATGTGTGTGTGTGTGGTTGTGTGTATACATATATATTAGTATATGTATACATGGGGTGGGCAAAAGTAGGCTTACAGTTGTGAGTACACAAAACTATTTTTGTTTTATTATTAATTACTAGAGGCCCGGTGCACAAAAATTTGTGCACTCGGGGGAAGGGGGGGGTCCCTCAGACTGGCCTGTGCCCTCTTGCAGTCTGGGACCCCTCGGGAGATAACGACCTGCTGGCTTAGGCCTGCTCCCGGGTGGCAGAGGGCAGGCCCAATCCCTAGGTGCAGCCCCTGGTCGGGCTCAGAGCAGGGCCAATTGGGGAGTTGGGGCGCCTTCCCCTGTCATGCACAGAGCAGGGCAGATTGGGAGGTTGCGATGCCACCCTCAGTCACGCTCAGGGTAGGGCCAATTGGGGGGTTGGGGCACCGCCCCCTGTCACACTCAAGGCAGGGTCGATGGGGAGGTTGTGGCGCCACCCCCTGTCACGCACAGAGCAGGGCCCATCAGGGGGGTTGGGGCTTCATACCCTATCATGCACAGAGCAGGGTCAATCAGGGGATTGGGGAGCTCCCCCCTGTCATGCACAGAGCAGGGCCGATCAGGGGGTTGAGGAGCTCCCCCCATCACTCACAGAGTAGGGCCGATAGGGGAGTTGGGGCACCGCCCCCTGTCACACTCAGGGCAGGGCGGATCAGGGGGTTGGGGCACCGCCCTCTATCACCCACAGAGCAGGGCCGATCAGAGGGTTGGGTCGCCGCCACTGTCACACTCAGGGCAGGGCAGATGGGGAGGTTATGACTCTACCCCAGCACACACAGAGCAGGGCCTGTGGGGAGTGGGGGTTGGGGCGCCGCCCTCTATCACTGATCAGGTGGTTGGGACGCCGCCACTGTCACACTCAGGGCAGGGCCAATGGGGAGGTTATGGCTCTACCCCATCACACACAGAGCAGGGCCCGTGGGGGGAGAGGGGGGTTGGGGCGCCGCCCTCTAACACCCACAGAGCAGGGCTGATCAGGTGGTTGGGGCACCGCCACTCTCATACTCAGGGCAGGGCCAATGGGGAGGTTATGGCTCTACCCTGTCACACACAGAGCAGGGCCCGTGGGGGGCGGGGGGGTTGGGGCCCCGCCCCCTGTCACACACAGAGCCTCAGGGTGATCGGGGTTTGGGCGCTGCCCCCTGTCACGCTGATCCCGGTGCTGGGAGGCATATTACCCTTTTACTATATAGAATAGAGGCCTGGTGGGGCTGGCTGGTTTGCCCTGAAGGGTGTCCTGGATCAGGGTGGGGGTCCCCACTGGGGTGCCTGGCCGGTCTGGGTGAGGGGATGATGGCTGTTTGCAGCTGGTCACACACCCTTCAGGGTGGGGGTCCCCATTGGGGTGCCTGGCCAGTCTGGGTGAGGGGATGAGGGCTGTTTTCAGGCTGGCGGGTGACTGAAGCTCCCAACCACTCCTTTTTTTCTTTTTTATTCTGGGCCAGCTTTAGCTCTGAGGCCTCCGCTGCTGAAAACAGGTTTCTGGCCTTTGTTTACCGTCTGTATTTGATACAATCCGCTGAGTAAAGCAGGTTTCTGGGGTTTTTTTAGCTTCTTTATTCGCAACATAGTTGCTTAGAGTTGCAGCTGAGAGGCCGGCAAGTCAGGCGGGGAACGTTGGAGTTCTCCGTCACTGAAGCAAGCAAGCCTCCCTGTTCGCATCAGCTGCCTGGCTGCTGGCCGCCATCTTGGCTGCCAGTTAATTTGCATATCTCGGCCCTACTCTGTGAGTGACAGGGGGATTAGCCAATGGGAAGGGTAGCGGTCGTACGCCAATTACCATGTTTCTCTTTTATTAGTGTAGACTAGAGGCCCGGTGCACAAAAATTTATGCACTCAGGGGGAAGGGGGGGTCCCTCAGACCGGCCTGTGCCCTCTCGCAGTCTGGGACCCCTCAGGAGATAACGACCTGCTGGCTTAGGCCTGCTCCCGGGTGGCAGAGGGCAGGCCCAATCCCTAGGTGCAGCCCCTGGTCAGGCTCAGAGCAGGGCCAATTGGGGTGTTGGGACGCCGCCCCGTCATGCACAGAGCAGGGCAGATTGGGAGGTTGTGATGCCACCCTCAGTCACGCTCAGGGTAGGGCCGATTGGGGGGTTGGGGCATTGCCCCCTGTCACACTCAAGGCAGGGTCGATGGGGAGGTTGTGGCACCACCCCCTGTCACGCACAGAGCAGGGCCAATCAGGGGGTTGGGGCACTGCCCCCGTCACACACAGAGCAGGGCCCATCAGGGGGTTGGGGCACCGCCCTCTATCACCCACAGAGCAGGGCTGATCAGGGGGTTGGGGCGCCGCCACTCTCACACTCAGGGCAGGGCCGATGGGGAGGTTATGGCTCTATCCCATCACACACAGAGCAGGGCCCGTGGGGGGGGTGGGGTTGGGGAGCTCCCCCCTATCAGGCACAGAGCAGGGCTGCTCAGGGGGTTGGGGCCCCGCCCCCTGTCACATACAGAGCCGCAGGGCAATCAGGGGGTTTGGGTACTGGCCCCTGTCACGCTGATCCTGGTGCCGGGAGGCATATTACCCTTTTACTATATAGGGTAGAGGCCTGG